ATGACCTAACTAGTCTTAAAAACTTGGTCCCAACATAGTTTTTTAGAGACTTCCCTGGCTTGGTTTTAGTTTTCCTCTTACAACCTTAATTCCACTTACTGTTGTCAGGCTTGCTGGTAAATACTAAATGCTAGTACAGAAAAGTGATAATATTTGCCATATTCTAGGCAAGAACTCAAATCACATAAGGTAAATACCCTGTAAGTATATGTAGCATAAATCAATCAAGGAAACATTACTTTAAATTAAGGAGGCACACCCCATTAGAACTACTTGGAGAAGGAGCCAAAGCTTTGACTGCCAAGACAAGCTGCCTCTATAGAAGACATGTAGACTCAAATTAAAAGAAGAAGACTACACTGCAAGACCTATTTCGCACACACAAACTAGTTCTTGTAGCATGTAAACTCACATCAATATACATTTTACGGGATGCTGGGCTGCTAATTATACTTGCCAAGAGGGCTTGAACCTAGGTACATTGTTGTCTCCATGGTCTCTAAAGTCTATGAATGGATCTCCTCATCGCTCGATTAAACACCTGAATTGTATGTATAGCTTCGTGTATAGGATCAATGAATTTCTCGTCAACAATATTAACGGAAGTCCATCGCTCACTAGCTTTTTGTCCAGATGAGTACCTACTGAATACACACTTAACAAAACTGGGACCAATTGAATTTTCCTACTCTGAAGGAATGTAGTCTCTAAGAAAGCAGGTACAATAAACAATGAACTCATTCCTAAACAAAGACCATTTCATATTGGAGTCTTCATCCCACTTTTGATGGCACAGTATAGCTGATGAGATACTCCAAAGTAGGTAGCAGTCATAACCACTTCACTCCACAAAAACTTTGGCACATTCATAGTGTACATAATCAATCTTGTTTTCTCCAAAAATGGTGATTCTTAATTTGCGCAATGCAGATTATTCTTTTAGCGGGAGGCGATGTTGCCGTCGATCGCGAGGTGCCCGCAGTCACTTTGTTAATCTTGAAGTTCTGCAACTCCGACCGGATCTTCATTAGACACAGTGTGAGTGCATGTCTGTGGTGGTGTGAGTGTGCGAGTCTATGTTTTAATTAGTGTTGACCATTCACATGCAAGAAAATTCTTTTTTTTTTAAATATGCACAAGCATGTGTATCATGTATTAAAAAGGAGATGAGGAAAAGAGCCCCGTCGGCCAAGGTTCTACAAGTAGTTACAAGCACCACTCCACCACGGCACCACCACACGGCCTAAAGGCCACGCTGACACACTTAACTACTCGCCCTAGCCCACCTAGTCAGCATAGCCGGGAAGTTAGAGTATTCTCCCTTCAATATCCCTGCTAGCTCTAGCTTCCATGATTTGCTCTCACTCTCAATTTTAAAAATGACCTTTGTAGTCGAGGGCGAAGCCCCATCAAATACAACCGCGTTCCTACCCTTCCAGAGCTCCCACATGCACAAGGATAGGAGTGTGTTCGTGGGAAGCACATTGCTTAATTTATTTTTCCAATAATGAACTGCCATTAATATCATCTTTCCATATAAAAACGATCCAACCGCGAAAGAGTTCAACACCCGGCTACATATGAAGATGCACATACTCCAGACACACAAAGTTCCACATAACTACATGACTTTTCAGATCTGTATGTAATACACATGGAGATCACATCAGAAGTACTAGTTTATTTGAATTTAAAACATAACATGTACAATTGGAATTTAAGGACACATAAATAAAGTCGTCGCAGATGATGAATTTGATTACCCACACGGCCACACATATGGCTTTGACAACAAACAAGATCATGCAAAGATCCGGATAGGGAAACAACGGTTCAGCGCGGCAGCTGTACGTGGAGAGTTGCACGCAATCGCAGATCCAACTTCTTCTTAGCACTGATTCCCATGGTTTCCGTCATGTCAAGATCACCGGGGAGAATGCCATCTGGAAGAGCCCAGTCGAAATAAAACAAAAGGCTTGCGAGAGCGAGCTCAATGTTCGCGATTCCAAACAACACCCCGGGGCAAATCCGCCGCCCGGCGCCGAATGGTACGAACTCAAAGTTGTTACCATTGTAATTCACCTTACTGCCCATAAATCTATCTGGGATGAATGCTTCCGGTTCTTCCCAGTACTCAGGGTCCCTTGAGATAGCCCAAGCATTCACAAGAACAATGGCGCCCTTGGGAACGTCATAGCCGAGTATGTTACATTGCTCTTGGCATTCCCTTGGCAGTAGTAATGGCGTAGGTGCGTGCAACCTCAACGTCTCCTTGATGATACACTGCAAGTAGCTTAGATTGGCTAGACCCTCCTCGGTTACCTTCATTTGTCCCGCGAAGGCACCCCTGACCTCAGCTTGTGCCCTAGACATCACACTAGGGTTTTGCATCAACTCTGTCATGGCCCACTGTAGCGTTGTTATCGGTGACTCGCTCCCCCCCGCAAAAACATCCTGTGTTCTTTTCCCTGTTGGTGAAACCGTGGATTGATAGAAAAACTAGCGCGCCCCACATGTACACACGTGTGTATGTATATATAGCATGTACTAGAATGAGCAAAATAACTTACTAAAATCACTGCTTTGATATGGTTCATGGTGAGGGGGAACGCAAGGTTGCCTTCTCGTTTGATCCTCAAGAGGGCATCGACCAGGTCTTCCTGGTGAACTTCCTTGGAGGATCTCCTCGCGAGATGATCATCTATGATACGCTCCAGGAAGGATAGCACAGAGTCTCGAAAGACCGCAGCCCTGCGCAGTGTGCTGCTCAGAGTGCGCGCTAGCCTCGACGACGGGAACAAGTCGGATAAGGTGTAGCCACCTATCAGCCGCACCGCCTCGGCGACATAATCGAGCAAGGTGTCACTGTCACGGTCCTTGAACCGGCAACCCAAGGTGGAGTGCACCGTCGTGTCCGACCCGTAAATGGTGAGCATGTTACTCAGATTCACAGTTAGCTGTGTCTCTGATGCAGATGAGATGGATCGAATGAACCTGATTACCTCCTCCTCACGGGTGGGCCGGAAAGATTTGACGCGCTTGGCGTTCAGCAGCTCGAGGACGCAAATCTTGCGGAGCTGCCGCCAGTGTGCACCGTATGGGGAGAACGTGATCCCCGTGCCATGCTCGTTCAGCACCTTGGCCGTTGAGCTCAGTGGCCTTGTGCAGAAGATGTGGTCGTGCGTCTTCATGATCTCCTTGGCAGCTTCGGCGTTGGAGGCGACGATCACTGGAACCTTACCGAGCTTGAGGAGCATAAGGGGCCCATGGCGCCGAGAGAGATCCCGTAAGGCACGGTGTGGGAGGGCACCAAAAAGATGGTGGAGGTTGCCGATGATAGGAAGCTGCCATGGGCCAGGAGGAAGCCGTAGACCGCGGTCGCCGGAGCAAAAGAAAGCTCTCAGGGAGCGTAGGATGTACAGAAGTGGAAGAAGAGCTAAAAGATAGATGTATGCCTCCATGATTGGGTAGTATCAGTGTGGTGGATATGTGATCAATACTGGAATAGGAGTGGGGTTTTGGATGAAGAACTCAAGTAATCACGGTTTATATAGGCAGCATTGCTGCTTGTTCGTTTTCTGTTCCAGCTGCAGGTTGCTTGTTCGTTGCTTGATGCCCGTACTTCTTTTATGCCACGCGCATTTTCAGGGCAAAAAGAAAAATCAAAGTCAACTATGTGATCTCGTACCGATTTGATGGATGCATGTGATCATGCGGTACATATATCTAAAGAGTACTTATAGTGTGCTGCAGGAGCAGAATTAAATAGCTAGCATTTTTTTTTGGAACGACGTAGCGTCCAGCTTTAAATTAATAAAGCCACTAGGCAGCATCCACACAAGTTTAAGACATTACAACTGATAAACACATAAGTTTCGCAGGCTCGACGTCCCGGCAAAGCCTAAGAACGATGCAGTTTAAGGAAAACAAAAGCGGAGCGAAACATAGGCTCAACGCAAAAGACTCAAGCTGACGGTCCTACTTGTCGCAACTTCACCATGCACAGCTTGATCTGCTCCATCACCTCGGTCATGTGGTCCTCATCACGCGTCTTCCCCAGCGGCGCCCAAGCCTGTAAGAAAATGTGGCATTTGAAGAGAATATCAGCTGGGTGGGCAGGGAATTTGTGTTCTATAGTTATTTTGTTCCGAACCGACCAAAGTGACCAAAGCAGCGCCCCTACGCATCGCCGAACAACCCTTGCATTGGTGCCCCTTTGTACCAACAGCAGGGTCAACAGGTTATCGCTAGACTGCGGGTTCCAATTCTGCTTGAAGGCATCCCTAACCGCACTCCACGCAAATCTAGCAAGACTACATCCGAAGAACACGTGGTTTGCGTTTTCCCCTAGACCACAAATGGCACATGTTTTGTCCGTCAGTCCGTTTTTTTTGGCCATGTTATCCGAGGTAGGTAGGCTCTTGCGGAACATTTGCCACAAAAACATCTTGATCCTAAGGGGTAAGCCGTCCTTCCATAGCCCCCTGGCCATGTCAAGCGCGTTCCCCTCGGTCAATTTATCATAGAGAGATTTAACCGAGAATTTCCGGGAGGAGGTAACCTTCCATGTAATTGCGTAATTCTCGTGGTTAAGGTTTCTCTCCTCGAGTTCGGCCACCAGCGTTGCGCAACGCGTAGCCTCCCCTGCCTCTAGATCCCTATAGAAGGAGATCGCCGGCGGGTGACCACGCAGGGCGTCGGCAACCAGGATGTTAGTATCAGTGGCCAGCTGTATAACTCCGGATGGGATTGCCACAGCGGTGCTTGACCCCACCAAGAGTCCAGCCAAAACCGTGTGTACGTGCCATTATTAACCCAGAATTGTGCGCCCACCAAGAAGGCCGGTCTCATGTAACACCCCGGATATGATTTACCCAATATGTAATCCAACTCTTGCCGTTTCCGGCGTTAAGTTATTTTATTTTCTCGGGTTCGGGTTTTTGCCTCCATGTGTTGTTGTCATTGTCATGCATCTCATATCATGTCATCATGTGCATTGCATTTGCATACGTGTTTGTCTCATGCATTCGAGCATTTTCCCCGTTGTCCGTTTTGCATTCCGGCGCTCCGTTCTCCTCCGGTGGTCATTTCTACCTTTCTTTCGTGTGTGGGGGTTAAACATTTTCGGATTGGACCGAGACTTGCCAAGCGGCCTTGGTTTACTACCGGTAGACCGCCTGTCAAGTTTCGTACGATTTGAACTTCGTTTAATGCTCCAACGGTTAACCGAGGGACCGAAAGGCCTCGTGTGTGTTGCAGCCCAACACCCCTCCAATTTGGCTCAAAACCCACCAAAACCCTCTCCATCATCGAGAGCGTTCGATCACAATCGCGTGGCCGAAAATCGCACCTCTTTTGGACTCTCCTAGCTCCCCCTATGCCTATAAATAGGTCTCTCCCCGAAAATCACGGGTCTTCTTCCCCGAAACCCTAGTCCCGCTCCTCTCCGCGCGGCTGGACACGTCCGTCGGCCGCCAACGCGTCCGACTCGCCCCGCCGCCGCCACGTGGCGCTCTCCGGTTTGTCCGCCGCCTGCGCCCACTTCGCTGGCCCACAGGGCCCGCGGGAGGCAATCCCGGCCCGGTGCCGCGCCGCCCGCGCCCGCCTTCGGCTCCGCCGCCTGACGCCGTCCTCCGCCCCCGCCGACTCGTCGCCGGCCAGCGGAAGCTCCGCCGCGGCAAGCACGCCGCTGCCACGTCGCCACCTCGCCGCCCCCTGCCTCGCCGACGCCGCGCCTCCGCCGCCTCTCCCCGCCATCGCCGGCGGCCCCTCCGACCGGATCCGAGCAGGGACCGGCCCGATCCGGCCATCCCTCGCCGACCCCGGCCACCACCTGCCTCGCCGGAGTGCGTGCACCACCGCCTCAGTTCGCGGACCCAGCGAACCCTAGATCTCAGATCCACATATCTCGGTTGACTTTCCCCCTCTCCCTTATTTTTTTCCGCTATGTTCATCATCTTGTATCTCCTCATCTGCAGATCCGTTTTGGGCATATAGCATATCAAAATGTTCATCTCAGAGAGCACATCATTTCATTTCATTGCATCATTTCAATTTGAGTTCATCTTGATGCCCGAAATGCTGTTGGAAGAGTGATATTTGAGATAATGGTCAGATCTGCTGCTCTAATTAGATATTTATCATTTTTGCCATGATTATTGTGTGCATGATATGCCCAGGAGCTCTACATATGTTTTGTTTTATGCTTTATCATCTATCCAGTGGTGCCATCCATGTATTTTTGTGATGTGTGTGGTGACTAGCACAAGCTTGCAAAGTGGTGCATTCGTTAATGCTGATTTCAGGTACTTAGCAATTCCACTAAGTCTTTGATCTGTTTATCTCAATATGCCATATGTTCATGTTGTTTCCTAGTGATCCGTGCCTCTTTTGAGGATGATCAGTAAGGATGTTTTGTTAATCTTGTAGTGCTCTATCCATCCATGTCTTTGTTTGCAATTATGGAGCACCCTAGCTTGAGTCAATCGAGCTCTACTTTTGCTATTTCGTGAATCTGGGCAGATTGTCTACTTGTTAGTGATTTTGCCGAGGATGTTGTAGTTGATCCGTGCATGCTATGTTATTGTTCTTGCCATGTCTAGATTGTATAATGTGTATTCTTCACGGGTGTATGCTTAGATTGCCATGACTTGCTATGTGGTGAGTGCATCGAGCTCGTAAACATGCCTACTTGATTTCTGATTTGCATGCTCCAGTTTTTCACTAAGTCCGTGATCTGATTATGTTTTTGCCATGTTCACATGCTTGCAAATGTATTTTCTGATCCCTTTTGGCTCAAGGTCACTAAGGGACTTTTGTTAAGCTCTTTGAGTAGCTCCATTCCATGCTTTACTTTGCCATTTTCAGGTCCTGTAGCATATAGTTTTCATGCTCCAAAGTGTGCTACCTGATCTGAAATTCCAGACAAGTGTTAATTTCAGTAAGTCTGAAATCTGTTTACCAAATGCATTTTTGTCATACTTGTTTGAACCTGTTAATGCATGAATTGGCCGTAGCTCAGTGTTCATCTTTTGTTAAGCATCATGAATGGATCCCTGCCATGTATTTTGTTATCATGTTTGAGTGCTGTAGCATGCTCATGTTGTTGCATTTAGATGGTTACTTGCTGTAAATCGCAGACCGGTGCCATATTTGAAATGCTTGCCATTTCCAAACCGTAACTCCGATTCCGGCGATATTTATATCGTTTTCAAGCGATTTCATCTCACCTTTCCAGTGGCACACTTGGATTTCCAAGTTGAGGCCAGGTTCATTCATTTCTTTTCAAATCTTGTATACGCATCCCGCATAGCATACCATCTTTGCATCATATTGTTTGAGCTTTGCACGTGGTTGATTGTGTCCTTGTTGCTTGTTTGTCTTGTTTGGGTAGATCCGGGAGA